CTATGCTTTCGAAAATTATGAAATCACTGCCAGCCTTATCCTGATCATCTTCAAAAACAAAATGTATTTGAGGCTTGTTTCAACATAACCATACAGATTGATCCACACGGTTGTTCTGTTCTTTTCTTCTTTTATGCTTAACTAATTATCTTTACTAAGATAGACCTAATGCTCTAAAAGAACTTTTCTTTAAAGCTGATGTGGTCTAAAAGTTTCTATTTACCGGTTATGAGAACAACAAAAACTACGTACAAGAAACATAATCATCTAAGCCTATTACTTAATTATCTCCACCCGTTTCCATAGACAAACGACTCGTTTGCTTCATCACTTTACTTCTCAATACGATCCAAAATATCATTTGCTCACAAGGGCATCGGTTCAAATCTTTCTTTGCGGAATACTTATGAAAATGATTAAGAAGTCTCAGCACGCACCCAAGAGGTGTACTAGCAGGAGTTTTATAGATGGCAAGCGTTGACTCGTTAGTGGATAGAATGGAGAAGTCCACAAAGGATACAAAATTCTCATCATCACGACATGGTATATGACATAACTCTTGAAACATCTCTAGCCGATGGTAAGCTTTGACTTTCTGATCTGAAAATATACCGTTGTAACTCATACGATAGAGGGCAAACAACCCAAAAGATTGATATATTTAAAAACTATAAATCATGCCAACATCGGTCAAAAATACCTATCATTTTGTACACAGTACAAATGCTAGTCTGCAATGTTGTAATAAACAAAGAAATTCCCTTTACAAGCACCTTAAGAATATCCTGGACCTTTATTTATTTTTAAACTAATAACCCAGTGAGTGCAAGAATTATGCACCATACAACACTCCTTGCTACGGATACCGCATTTGTGCATCCGTTGCTTTGTGTCTTGGTTGTTTTTTCGGTAACTGTATCATTGTCATTCTCCTCTTTGTTTGACGATTCACTTTTCCTTTCCTTAGAATCTTTTACCCTGCTTTCTTTTACAAAAATCCTTACTGTCACTTAGCTTAGAACTTCTTTTAAAAGTAGAGCCCTCTTCTTCAAATTTCTTACGTGCGTCCAGATCGTTAGTCTCATCCTCTATCTTGTACTCAAGAGCAAATACCTTCGTATTATTTTCGTTGTAGGGCATCCTTAGAGACGAGGTGTAAGAATGATCTTCATGAGACACACTGGCATAGTCTTTCTGGTTACCTCTTCTGTCGAAGTTTCTTAGTTTTTTAAGACTTTGTTCTAGCCCTTTTATGTCCTTGATCATGTTGTAGTTAATTTTAGAAGTGCTGATTCTTGGATTTTTTGGAAAAATGCCGGCACCTGATGACCGTTCCTCCTTCTTTCTATGGTTGGTGTTATCCTCGTCACCGATGTCCTCTATCAGAACGGTTTCAATGTTTTTTTCTTTGCTGTTCGGCGCTACACCGTCTCTTAAATCTTCGTCATCATCGCATTCTACCTGGTATATTTGTTCGCTTCTGTCCTTATTTATTCTGTTAGCAGTTTCTTGTTCATCAGCATGCATTTCCACGGTAATGTCTCCATCCAATTCATCCTGTGCACTTTTCTTGTCCGTATCACCTTTTACCCTCTTCATTTGCGTGTTTACGGCATAAAAACGTGTAAAGGGCAGGATCTTTATGTTCTTGTGGAAAAGAACATGCAAAATAACACCTATAGATTCAACCGAGTACAAAAACCTATCCCTAAGTACCAGTGACAGGCCTTCATTTGTTGCATTAAGCGAAAGCAGGGTGGGAATAAGAAAATCAATAAAATTTGGCAGTTCTATGTCTTCTGTGTCGAGGCTCGGCGTGGTAACAATCAAGTTCTTTTGTTCGCAATGTTGTTGTGCAAATTCAGGCCATCCAAAACGGGGCAATCGTACAAAACGCGGCACTAAACCGGTTATTCGTTTAAACTTCCCTATGTATCGATCAATGTCACGAACATTTTTGATCTCCTCTGTAATGGCCAAGCCTACTTCATGGTGCTCTGCCATTCTTGCTATCAGGTCTGCATCGTTAATTCGGTACGGATCCACGTGAAAGCACACAGGAAGGTTGTAGTACCGTAGGTATTGCAGCAGTTGATCGGTATGTTGTGATGGTCCCTCATCGAAGGAGATTGCTGCTACGGTCACCGCAGCGATGTGCTTAAACAAAAGAAGTATCATGCATTATTATGTTCAGTTTTCTTTTATAGCTTTACCATTTATGCAGTGCATGAAAAAATAAGAATCGTGCTTTATTCAAAACATCTTAATAACTGCCATAGCTAGAGCTGCATTATCATACCGTTGTTTACAAAGGTGTTTTGTTTAATGCTGGTAGGGGGCAACATTAAAAATACTTGCTAGTGAATTTGGTTAGATGTAATGAGAGATTAAACAACGCTTACCGTACGTGCCTGCCCTCAAAAATTGCCGTAAAGTAAAGAAGAGTAAATGATAAATGCCATAGTAAGCATGTATACGTTGTGTGCTGCAGTGTATACCCTACAATGAAAATGAGAGTTTGGTATTTATGGCAAAGGACGTGAGCAGCAATGCTGTTCTTTTTGTTTATGTGAGGGGTGGTGCGCTTTAAGTAAACAAACTGCAAAAAGAAGCGCTGTCATGCGTACATCATGGCTTTTTTGTCTTTCAGCAACAGGAAAGAGTAGTGGTGGAAAAAGTCCTTTATACCAAATATGATATCAAACCGATTGAGAAAAGAAAGGACGGAAAGGGGAAATGAATAAAATGTAGAATAATAGATATTTTGTGAACATGCTGCATCGTTAAAATCGTAGATAGCACAGTTAATTCAATATTACCATACAGGGTTAAGATGGTAAGAGGTCCTTTCATCAAACCAATCATTGATGTTATTACTTAAATTGGATTCGTTTGAAACGCATTTATCGATTCTTTCTGTGGCAACAAATGCAAAAGCGCTAAACAACAGCAATATCGGTGAGTTGAACAAGTATTGATCAAAGTGGTACGATGTGGAACATATACATGCTATCATATAAATATTTACACGTAACAACTTATCATCTGTGCGAACACCTCGGTATTATCTCCTTTTGTTCCATCTTTGCCATTTCTTTCGCATGTTCGTAATTGCACCTCACCCCATTAAATACGATCATTTTTCCCCATGTTAATGAGCGATACCGTTCCCAAAAAGAAAAAAGATTTCAAGACAAAACTGCTAGTTGTTGCCTTGAAGGGCCTTATGTACGTTATACAGGTAAATAGCGGTGCTTTGGAGATAATTGTGCGTATGTTTGATGTGATTTTTTAGATAGTGCGATAAAACCACGGAACTAATATGCGTGGATAAAAAATAAGTTTTAACGCTCATCATCTGTGACGAAGCAGGGTATTTAACCTGTGAGTATCGTTTGCTTTTATCTTTCATCGGATGCACGTTTATTACCTCTCAGAATAAACCACCATTGTATTCGTGGATTTGGCCATGTTTAATTTATGAATTTTACTTTTCGGGTGTTGTAAACGTTCTTATTTATTCTTTTGGTCTGTCCCGTTGCTCACCATTACAATGATTCGTTTTGCACCACACTATGTCTGTTCCATTAGCCGGTATTATAGCGCTGTTGCATTATACCAGTAACTTCTTATATTTGGTACCGATTATCTTTTCTCCAACTAAAATTATCATTTACATGATATGTACGCTACTTTCATCCACAGTAACAGAAAATTTTGCACAAAATTACAATTCGCTTTATTTCAAGCCACTTTTACTTGTTGGGCACCTTTGGTGTGTAAAACAATTAATTTAGTGCTGTACGTACGAAGAACGGCGTAGAACCGTATGAATGCGTGAAAATGCTGTGGCATTGAAATGTAGGTGTTTTTACAAATGTGCGTGATGAGGTATATGCTGTGAATGATGAGGTATATGCTGTGAATGATGAGGTATATGCTGTGCGTGATGAGGTATATGCTGTGAATGATGAGTTGTTCTGCTGAATTACGATTAAATAGAAAAGTGCACTGAGTCATAGCCTTAGCGATCTTTGCTCCGTGCGAAGGAATATTTTGCGGTGGAATTGACGGTATAAGAAGAGATGGCAAAGAGATCGGTCGTGTAAGGTGGAAAAGTGGGTGAGTTAATGGTATGGATAATAGTAACGGTATGGAAATGAATGAAGTGAGATACCAAGCGGATGGCATGGAAATGCAGATAAGAAGAATACGAAGAATAAATAAAGGATATTTCAAGGTGTGCTGATATAAATACCAATATTTGCACTTTTAGGCCATAAGAATGGGTTAGAACGCATGTATGGTAAAAGAACGTGATTTACAGCATTTATTCACACGAAGCACGGTACTAACGGTTCAAGTTTGCAAGATTTGCTAAGTATGCCTGGATGGTAAAATACTTTGTGTGTATAACGCGTTATATGCACCTCATTTGTTAACACGCATTACCATGCGTGTTAGATGGTGCAATTGCTAACACAGAACCTGCTTATTGAGCTCATCTCACACACCATACATTAATTCCGTTCTCCTGTTCGGGTCCTTGATACGAAATAAGTTTTGGCCCTTCTCACGTATGAAAAACAACTCTGATATGTTGAAAAGAATGGTAGAGAAGCAAAATAAAGAGATTGGAATGATCAGAAGCAACAAAAGAGACAATGCCAACAACTATGGAAGAGTAGCGAGCGATGATGTTAGAGAATGTCCGGATGGGAAGGATAGCAATACGAGCTGTAATATTGATGCTGAGATGGTTGATAATAGTGTTAAAGAGTACAACGAGAGCGGAGTGGTTGGCAATCCTGTCCATACGAGTACCTCCCATACCAATAATCCTACCATTGGCACTGCCGGTAATGGTGGAGACAATGCCTCCCGTACCGCTCCCTCGTCAACCGGTCAAAAAACGAAGATTAACCTGAAAGTGACCAAAGAGTACAAAATTGCGGTCTCACCATCCTCAAAAGCAGTGCTCCAAGCGATGCTAAAATTTAGGACGGCTCAGTATGACGTTAAAAGCAACGCATGGCACATAGGACTGAGTGATTATAGCGCAGCCATAAAAGAGCTTCGTAAAATCTTCGTGTTTGACCGAATACCGAACGACAGCATACGCATCTTGAATAAATACTCGATGAAAAGGGAGTATGAAGACTTTGTAGATAGAGAGGTGGCTAGGACATGTGTCTTCAACGGGAGTGGGCCGGTTAAGAGGGACATAACAGGGACGAGTAGCGATGAGATGGTGAATAATGGTGAGATGAGTAGCAAGAAATCGCTAAATGCGTGTAGTACCGCTGTCAGTAGCGGAGCAGTGTTCCCTACGGCAACCACGAGCAACAAATTCTCATTCGTCCATCTAAAGACGTACCTGTTACCGTTCCAAAAACAATCGGTGAACAAGGCGATATCGAACGGCGGCCGGATAATACTGGCAGATTCTATGGGACTGGGAAAGACGATACAGGCGCTCTCCATTGCCCTGTACTACTCGCTGGAGTGGCCCTTGCTGATTGTTGCACCCGCATCGCTTTTGGACAATTGGCGCGATGAAATTGAAAAGTTTTGCGGAGTGAAAGTGTGCGTGGTGAGAGACATCGGAGACATCGGCAACGGAAGCGTGTTCGTAGTGTCCTACGACTTTTTGAGCAAGAATGTGGCGCACTTTGAAAACATGGTCGTAAGGAATGATAGAGGTGAGAAGAATGAAGAAAGGAATGCGGACAATAGCACTGCTAACCCTGCTACGGTTGCAGATACCAGTAATGCGGGTGTTGCTATCTCCGATACCACGGCTGCTACTAAGACCTTTTCTGAGCGTGCCCGTACGAATGACCCCACGGCCACGTCTAATACACTCCGAGGCACACAAAAAGTAAGCGGCACACTAACAACCACCAGCAGGATAAACGTAATAATAGTAGATGAGTGCCATTACCTGAAGAACATGCAGTCAAAACGTACACGGACACTGCTCCCGTTCATAAAGAAGATGAACAGGGTGGTACTCGTGAGCGGCACACCTGCACTCAGCAGGCCTATTGAGCTGTATCCGCTCATCTACGTGCTGGAAGGCTTTAACTACAATGATTATGCTAATCGGTACTGTATGGATGGAAGGAGCCGGTTCAACAGGTTTATGAGGCACAAGGGGTGCAGTAACTACGATGAGTTGAGCTTGGTCATTGGTGGGATGATGGTTAGAAGGACCAAGGAAGACGTAATGAGCGACTTACCGAGAAAGTACCGTGAGCATGTGCTGTTGGAGTGTACCGGCAGTACTGCTGGCAGTGGTGTGAGCAGCACAAACAATGCAGGTGCAGGTACCGGCAGCACATCTGCCAACATCACCAGTATAGATGACGTAGATCACACGATCATGGCATTGTACGCACAGGCTGCAGAGATAAAATTGAGCAGTGTTATCACGTACATACACAATTACATTCACAAACACATAAAAGGCACGGCAAACAAATTGGTGATATTCTGTCACCACAAGTGCATGATAACGGGCATTATCAATTCTTTGGACGTTGGTCATATAAAAATAGATGGATCGGTAAGCAGCACCATAAGGCAGCGCCTTGTGAACTCTTTTCAGTTGGATGACAGCATAAAAGTGGCTGTGCTCTCAATAACGAGCGCTAATACAGGATTAAATCTGACTGCGGCTAGCACGGTCATTTTTAGTGAGTTGTATTGGAACCCTGGCAATTTGTTGCAGGCTGAGGATAGGGTCCACCGTATCGGACAGCGAAGGGATGTTCGTGTGTATTTCTTGCTTGGGAAGGGAACGGTTGATGAAATGGTGTGGCCAAAGATTGTGGGCAAACTGGGCGTGTTAGAGCGGTTAGGTGTAGGTGAAAATGTGCTGAAGAGCGTTGGCGAGCGGAAGGGAGGAAGCATTTTGAGTGCTTTTGAACGGATAAAGGGCGATAAAGGAGCGTAGCAGCGGACTATGCGGTGCTTTGCGCATTCCATGAAACTAGTAGGCGAAGGTACAAGAACGTGTATTCTTCAATATTTGGTGTAAAAGGAAAGTTAAAATGCGTTTTTAAGAACGTAGGCAGGTTTTCTAGTGCATAGCTCAGCTCAAACGACATGCTAGTTGAACAACCGTTGGCCGAGGATGTTTCTGTGCCATAAATTAATGGTAACCAAGTGATGTACGTTGACCGAACAAAAGCATTTCACAACCTATGCACACAATGATGATGGACATGAAGAACCCTTCCACAATTTTTTTGCTAAAATCATGTTATTTATTCACACGCGAACTTCGCTCAAGGCCTGATCAATGGCATTCTAAATGAATTATTGCAAAAATGAAAAGCTCTCAGTTAAGACCGCGTTTTATAAACACATGTTCTCTGAACTGTGCTCAACGAGGGGGCAGTTCGTATTTTTGAGGTACCTGCTCCTCATGCCAACATTAAACAGCGTTCTTACGGAACATTCTCATTGCTTAAAGGGCGTACTTTCTGTAAATCGGGTGGGAAGTGATCCTCCTACGATTGTACTCCCAGTTCATCACTGTGAGCGAATATATGGCGTATTGCTCGATGAAGTGACAGGAAATAATGTGTTGTTACCATTACCAAATGCTCTTACGCTGTTACATATTTGATATGATACGCCAACGTACATCAACACGTATAAATGTTATTTACCGCCATATGTAGGGAATATACCACCGTTTTTGATGTATTACTGTATCAGGTGCTCGTGAACAGAGGAGCCTATGAAAAGACTTACCGTTAGGAGATGCTCAACGGTATTTATCGGTGACAGATTCGGAATACCATCCTGGTGAGGGGGGTGTGCTGATGGGCCATACCTGATTCGTTAAACACGTGCGATACACCTGCATCAAAGCTGCCCTACAACGAATGGGCACCTGGCAAACGCACTTTTATTTACAGTTGTGTTTGTTTATGAGAACATGAAACGATCACAAAAAAATGTATAAAAGCATCGTAAACTTTCAAAATATGCTCGGAGTAATTCACACATCGCTGCTGTTCCTCACATCGCTCATACTCACATCGATTGAACTGCACAAATTGGAGGCACTCGTACATTTCGAGAAGAGCTACAAAATATCGTACGATATAGCCTTTCAGTTCAATAGAATGGTTACATCGGAGGCTGTGCCATTGCTAATATTCATGGTTCTGAACTTTCTCAGACCTACAATTATCCTGCTGCTGCTTATCGGCTTGTATGAAATATATAAGGTTGTGAAGGAGTGGAATTTCGTCAATCCGGTCTATTTGAGAGATGAAATGGCATTCAGAAAGAGAGAGGTGTGCTTGAAAGCCATGTTTTACCTATGCTTATTCGTTTTTTATACGTTAAATATCATAAAACTGGTCAAGAAAGTGTTCTTTGGATGACGGGGCTGTGTTACGGTATTGGTGTGGCTTGGAAATGAAACATTTTGCATGCATTTAATAGCGATATGGCCAGAAATAATGCTGCCAATGATTCATCAAAGAATCCGGAACAAGTGCAGTTGACAGAATAATATATTCTAGCGAACATAGCCAACGTGACATTACTAGTTAAAGCTATTAATTCATACTTTTAGTGTAACTGGCCAATAACAACTAAATATCTGTCCAAATTACCATAATTACACGTATCACTCCTGTTTTAACCACAAATCCGTGCTTTGTCGATAAAATGGTGGTGACCCATCTCTCTTGAACCATCTTACCAGGTAACACGTACTTTACCACGGCTCGGTTCATGTTGTTACATCATTTTAGCGCAAAGAGTTTTCTGTGATCCTTTCATAGGTACTTATGTTTGATTGTGGGATACCATCCTCTATCTATTAATATCCTGTCTTCTATTTTCAAATTAAACTCATTTACTGTTTCAACTGCTCCTCGCTTTACTTCTCCGTAATTGGTTGTAAATAGCATTCCTTCCGTATACCACAGCTTTAGTTCCACACTCAAACATCACAATAGTCTTTAAATAGCCCGATCATATTTCTTTTTGCAAAGCAAACAACATTTTATTGCTATATAATATTATCGCTATGGAATACGTTTACCGCAGTTTTAAACAAATTTACTTAAATAGTTCTTTTCATCACACACAACATGCATGCATCTCGATCTACCATTCCATTCATCTCCTCAATCAGGTTAATCTTGTGGTAGAGCACTGCTAATTTTGTTCGAACGCATTTATTTATCAGCCCACAGCCAATATCAACCAAACACATATTGTGAGTTTTTCATCCCCATCACAATTCGCGCAATTGTTCACAGAAAAATTGGAATGAACGAGCACAAAAAGCAGTTGTTGCTGAGGTATTACCAGCTGAAATCATTTTACAAGCGATTGGGTGTCATAAAAAAAGCGTTACAGGTCAAACAAAAGTCTGCATTCAAGTATTCGGCCACGGACAAAAGTACAAATTTTAACATTGATCACATTGTGAGGCGAAAGAACATGGCGGAGCTGATGGACATCCACAACACACTATGGATAAGCACAAAGAATATATACGGCTACAGATACAACATATACGGCAGGTACTTGAACAGGTATTGCTTGGATAGGGATGGCGATGCATTAAATGTACCGCTAAATGAGGTTAATGGTACTAATTTGCTAAAATTTGCCATAGAAAACAAAATACAGCCAATTGTGCTTATGAGAAAGATTTTAGCGCTGAGAAAGAAGGTAAAAGACAAATTCTCATGTTTTGAAATAGAGAAATTGAAGGAACTGGTCGGTGAGCATGGCAATAATTGGGTGCTGATTTCCAAATATTTAGATAAAACACCGCAACAGTGTCTGCAATGCTACAAGAAGCTTGTGAAAAAAAATGCTGGCCGATGGTCAAGTAAGGAGGACGAACTACTGCTGCAGGCCATTCAGAAACACGGTACAAAATGGATGAGTGTTAGTGAACACATCGGTACGAGAAACGATATGCAATGCCGAGAGCGATACGTGAATGTTCTGAGTGTGGCTAGGAAAGAGTGGACCGAGGGGGATGATAAGCAATTGGTGGAGCTAGTTGGTAAGTTTGGACGGAGATGGAAAATTATTGGGGATCTTATGGCAAGAAATAACAAGGAATGTAGACGGCGCTATTTCAAGATTTCTGCGGAAAGGTGAGGTGATAAATTACCGTTGCTGTTGTGGTAGCACAAACCAGATCTTCACACGTGTTTAACATGGCGTTTTAGATATTTGCTGTATGTAACTGCTCTCTTACCGGTAGCTTGTGCATTGCAATCGTTAAGATGTTTGTTGTGCAGGTCCAGGGCTGTTATCTAATATTTGAAAATTTGCAACAACCAAGCTTAGAACCGTTTGTGCTCAAGAACAGTAAAGGAAAGAGAGTTAAGGCTAACAAACCGGTACTAGACAATGGCTTGTGGAGCAAATACCATGTTCTGGGTGGTATTCTATCCTCGGTAAAATTAATCTTGTTAATCTGTCGCTTTCTCATGCCGATATTTATCATTTCTATCCACTAAAACCATCGAATGTGCCAATCGTACGGTGTAAGGCAGTACGTTCCTGTTCAAAACACCATGTTAACAATACTAGCCAGACAAACTTGCATAACCTGAGCAAGTGTTGGATCAAATGTGCATGTTTAATATTTGTGAGATATACCGTGCATGAAATTGTGCTAGCTATACCGGTACATAACACCTGTTGTTAAAAAATAAGTTTTTAATGTTGACCTGGGGAGGCAGCGATTTTAACAAGATTATTATGTGTTACTAGCTGTGCTATCTCCGCTTACAAAACCGATAAATTAATGACCTATAAAATGATAATTTCTTCTTTTAATACGTTTTTAACTGGTTTTAGGTCTTTTAGCATCGTTTTAAGAACTGCTTACACTCAGTACCATGTCCTTTTAATCTTGTCTATAACGAACTGCTAAGCGTGTCTTGGACACAATAAAACGTAAAATAGTGTTAATACTACTATTACGTGTTGGACCTGCATGTTGGTTCAGCATTTATAGACAATCAAACATTTCATCTTGTCGATACAGGATGAAATTAACGAACACTGCTGTTGGCATGTGTTAAATACAACGAATATTCAAACATCCATCTTAAGCACGATTACCGATTTGTTTTACATCAAAATTATTTTTGGGACCGCACAACCAGACAAGATTCTTTGTGTGATCAATAAATAAAATTTTTACCGTTCTAATCAACTACCCACTTACTTTCACTGCCGTAGCACCGGATATTTTTTATTTTTTTATAGCACTGGATTGCGTAGAAATCCACAGCAGTAAGTTTTGAATCGATAATGCACAGCGTAATTTTTCTTTTAAAACTTGAGAAGATCTTGTGGTCGAAATTTGGAACAACATCAACGCCATTGAGCACCAGGTAATGTAATTGTGTGAAAGCGGATATTGTTTTTAGCGCTTCACGGCTCAAATCTGATCCTATAATAGTTAACCTCCTGATCTTTAATTTGATTGCTGGCGATTTGAGTAGAGTTGTCATCAATCTACCACTCGAGTTCACAATTACAAGCGTTTTCAAGCCCCGAAGAGTCCCGATAAGCGTAACTACTCGGGGACTGTGGCAACCATTAAGGGTAACCTTTTTAATCTTCCACGTATCAACACTACTCCCAAAAGATGACCAGTTTATATTCGTTGCATGAGGCCCATCAGCGATGATAATTTCCTTTAAACTTGGCAGTCTGACATTCTGAACAAATATGAACAGCTTGCTAAGATCGCATATGTGGAAGGAGAGAGTGTGCAGTTTTGCCGCCCATATGGCATCTTCTTTATATGAATTAACAGATTCAATAAACATCATACCACATAACTGAATATTCTTTACAAATAGCAATTTGTTTGGTGCTTGACTTATTACCTTTGATACCAGCAAATCTTTAAGCATTAATTCCCTTAGTGTCACAATGTTTGCTATGCAATTGATCAAAAAAAGATAATTTGCCTCAACTAAATCTATGCTGCCATTGTAACTACAGGTATCATGCATCATATCAACACTAAGACTTCTCAACTTCTTAAACATTCCAAGTAATTTGTAATCTAATTTTGTTACTGTGCTCAATCTTAAGTCTAATATGCTGTTATTTTCTATTAAATGGCCTGTCCAGTTGAGACTAAGTGCACTTAAAGTTTGGAAAGTACGCAAATCCTTTTTAAAGCTTGTTGTCGTTTCGCATTGTGCATGTTTGTCGTAACAGAGAAGGCGCTGCTG